TTTTTCTTTTTTTTTTTTTTTTTACTTTTTGGCAATGGAAACAAATTTTATAACCAATTGTGAAAAAAAAATCATTTTAATGGACAATTTTCATATAAAATAAAGACAAACGAACACCAAAAGATTCAAAATTTCAATATTTTCCACGTGAAAAATTATACTAATCAAACACAATTAATTGACAATTCACAGAAAATTAATTCTAGGCAATTTAATTCCCTAAAATTCATTTTTTTCCACCCAAATTTCACTCTTGCAATCAAACGGACCCTTATTTTTTTCGGCCTCTCTGTCCCGCTGCTTTCGTTCCTGTATGTATTTAATTCAGCCCCCAAAAAACCCTTTTCGTTTCTGTATGCATGTGTATAAATAACCCTCATTAGCTGCCAATTAGTTGTAGTATAATTAGGATTTCAAGTGCTAATTGAAGTCCAAGTCCAATTGCAAGTCCAGCCCATTAACTTTGTGTTTCTCCAAGTCATCCATCTTTAGAATTAATGCAGTTTAGTCCTTCAATCACTATAGTGTAGATTTTAATCCCCGAAATTGTAGATTTCATTCAATTTCAACATTCTTTCTTTTCCAATTGCTTCGAACGAGTCCATAACTAAAACAAAAGAAAATTAAACCAAGTTAAGTAAAAATTAATAATTTGACGACATGAAATCCAAGTAATATAATTCAAATAAGAGCACAAAATGCACTTATCATCTAGCACATCAATTGTGAATTAGATTCCGCAGTTTGATTCTTGTTATTTTGCTTTAATTTATTTTTCATATTCAATTTTAATTGTACATTTCTACAATAAAATATTTTACGCGTATGTTTTAAACTTTTCTCACATTCTCCAAAAAAGTAATATTCAAAACAATATAGTTCTTTTAAATTAAAGGCCACTAAATATGGGCTAAATAGTTATGATAAAGTTAAGTGTACAACATTAGTTGAAAACAATAGTTGGCAATCATGTATTTTTAAAATCCAAGCATGTGATGTAGTAAATATGTTTATAAATAGATGCATATGATAATATCAAATAAGATTTTGTCAATCAACGTTGTCAACAAATGTTGTACATATAGCATGATTCAAATAATTAATGGTCAATATTCGAACGTACAAGTTTTCTAAAGCTGAAAGAGTAATATTATTTGGCATAATTGGTGTCAAACATCAATTTAGATGATAACTACATGACATTACGTATATTATTGAAGAAATATATATTTAAAATAGTGATATGATGGGAAATGAGTGGTTAAAAAGTAAGGAAAAATTATTGATATGACTGAAAATATTATTTTATTGAAAAATATGTGGTTGAAAATGAGTTTTGAAAAAATGTATACCAAACATGGGCTAAATGGTAATTTATTGGGTTAATACTCTAAATAGTCACTAAACTTTGCTAAAAGTTCCCAGGAGATCACTGAATTTCAAAACTTCCCTAATTAATCACTGAACTTCGTAAAAATTTCCTAGGAGGTCACTGAATTTCAAAACTACCCTAAATAGTCACTGAACTTTTCCAAAACTACTCTAATTAGTCACTCAATTTTGCAAAAAATTTATAGGGATCACTAAATCATTGATGTATGGAGTTACAATTTGCAAAGTTCGATGGCCTCCTAAAAAGCTTTAGCAAAGTTCAGTGACTATTTATGGTAGTTTTGAAATTCAGTGACCTCCTAGGAACTTTTTACAAAGTTCAGTGACTAATTAGAAAAGTTTTGAAATTCGGTGACCTCCTGGAAACTTTTGACAAAGTTCGATGACTATTTATGGTATTAACTCTAATTTATTCAATTAAACTTATCAAGTCTGACAACTTAAATTGATATTCTAGAATAATGTTAGTTAAAATCAGTTTTTCGAAACTATCAATTTTAAAATGTTGCTTAAATAATGTATTTAAGT